AGAGAGAGAGAGAGAGAGAGAGAGAGAGACAGAAAGGGAGAAACAGAAAGGGAGAAACAGAAAAAGAGAGAAACAGAAAGGGCAAGAAGTTGGATAGACAGGAAGGTGGGGGAGAAGATCTGGGAAAAGCTAAGGAAGGGAAAAAGTGTGATCAAAATATTTTGTATGAAAAAAATTTTAATAAAATTTAAGGCTAAAAAATTAAAATGAAGGAAAAAAAACAGTGAGTTATAATTGCAACTCTGAGGAGACAAGTCAGGCTGATTCCCTGGGTTTGTTGGCCAGGCAATTAAGCCTCCTCAGTGAGTTCCAGGCCAGAAAAAAAAAAAGCCCTGTCTGACAAAGAAAAAAAAGATGAACCGCTCCTGAAAAATGACACTCAAGGTTGGTCCCCTTCACATAAACACATAAACACACATGCACATCCACGGCTTTGTGTTGGATGATTTCACCTAATTACAGGTGAAATTACTGCCCTTAGGCCAGCCTAAGCTATGATGTTCACTAAATTATGTGTATAAATGCACTTCCTATTTGTAATAGTTTTAACTTACCATGAGCTTATCAGGCTACAACCTCATCACAAGATCTGTAGGACTCTGAGTTCTAAACTCAATTTATCCCTCAGCTATTTCCTCAGTTCTTACCAGTATCCACTCGCCACCTCAGCATGGATAGTCCTATCCATCCGCTCACCAACTAACTCATCCATGAAGCCCAGAGACCCGCACATCTCCAGCTTCCTCGGCTATTGAAACTGTTGATTCACTCAAGGTGCCTCAATCAACACCTCCTGTAGTTATCAACACCTTCCCTCCCCGCTGCTCTAGAAAGTTCCCGTACTCTACCAACCATCCCGTTACTGCTCAGTGGCATCCCGCTCATTTAAATTCTCACACACCTCTTTTCCATACTCCCCCACACCAAAGCCCATATTGTTAGGGACACACTCTCTTCCTCTACTCTTTTTCCTCTCCACTTCTCAGAAGCTGGCCTAGCTACCAGTGACACTGTATCATTCTTCAGGGCTGTGTCTTGTTCTTCTCTCTATCATGATAGCCAAGAGGAGAGTAAACACACTGTACTGTTTTGCCAAATTAGTGTTAAATGATTATTATTAAGCAAAAAATGTGGGGTCACCCCAAAATTATTGTTTCTATCTCTGCTTGGAGAAGTCATATATAAATACACTGGTCTAGAAATAAAACTTCTAGACATTTCTAGTTTCACCACTGCTTCCTACAAAGTATATCTGACGCTGAAGGTACACTAGTCTTTGCAAACCCTCAATTGCTCATCACTCTTACAAAGGCGTCAGTTGCCTTCCCTAAGGAACTGTAAGTGCAGCACTCACACATCTGCCTGAGCACTGTGAACACACCCAGTTCAAGTTAGGTGAGCACTGTGAACACACTCAATTCAAGTTAGGTGAGCACTGTGAACACACCCAGTTCAAGTCAGGTGAGCACTGTGAACACACCCAATTCATTTAGGTGAGCACTGTGAACACACCCAGTTCAAGTTAGGTGAGCACTGTGAACACACCCAGTTCAAGTTAGGTGCCCACATAGCCCTACAGTTTCTGGGCTACATTTCATTCCTGGCTACATGAAAAAAAAAACTGGGTTTCTTTCTTTTTCTTGACTTAAATTTTAGCTTTTAAGTGAAATTAGGTTTGCCAGGAGCTCAACGATAAATAGGCATATTATCATGCAAAGTTTTATTTATGAGACAACTAAAATATATCTTTTCTAACATTGGAGAACATTGCCTGCACACGAGGGAACCTGTGTAAGAAAGCTGTAAATCTACTGTAAACTATGGATGGGACCGAGTGCAGAATGTTCTCCCACAGAGAGGCCTTCTAGAAAGAATTGCATAAACTATGATAAGTGAATACACTTAAAAACAAAGGCATATGGGAAATGGTCTGACATGCCCACATATTATCTCTGTAAAAGAAGACAAAGACCTAAAAAAAATTTCTTGGCTCTTTTCACATGACCAAAGACGATAAGACACCACAGATGTATTCCCTTAGTATGCTTATATTTGCTTAAGTGAACTATAAATATCACCTCATGTTCTCTTGCATTAATAATAAAAATAAAAGTCCTTTGTTTGCACTACTCTTAAGAGTCCCCTGGCTACCCTACATAGATCTCTGACATTTCCTTCAATCCTCAGAGACTAAGCCTCACTGCCCTGGGTGGGCGTTGTAATCCAGGCACACCTGGGCCCTTGAGGCCCTGGCAGACTGCCCATCCCTGCACGCATGGCAGGCAGTACCCTGACTCTGTACACAGAGCAAAGGTTCCTTTAAGAGACAAGCTCCCCCCCCTCTCTGCCAGTTCTCTGAGGCAGATAGATCTCTGTCTCTGTCTCTGTCTCTGTCTCTCTCTCTCTCTCTCTCCCTTCCCCCATCCCCTTCCTTTTCCCAATAAAAACGTCCTTCCCATGTAAGTTCTGCCTGATGGTATATTTGTCACTCACCTGACATGGGAGCCTTCTACATTTTTCCCACTACAATCTTAACAGTGGGACAACAGCACAGCTTCTCAAATTCCTCTACCATTTACTCCATGGGAAGGTACGGAGAAGACTAAGAAGAAATGGCCCATGGTGGGTATGCACAGCGGACGGGATGAATACTCAGACACACTCTGGCGCCACGAGTCAAGCAGATTTGTAGAAGAGGAGAGTGAGTATGGTAATAAAAGCAGCTGCATTCAGAGTCCCTGAGCCTCCTACTCCACGCAGGAAATGGTAACGCCGTGGAGGACTCTGGGACAATGCAGCCACATTTTGAGAGCTCACAAGAAGGCAGAAGTCTAAAGTTTCTAATACAAAATCACACCAGCATTGACAAGCATTTCAGTTGCTTTTGCTGTGTAATAAGAAGGATGGCACAGTTAGGAGGAGGAAAGCCTGCGTTAGCCTACAGCTGGGGCCACAATCCAACCACAGCCTACAGCTGGGGCCACAGTCCAACCACAGCCAGCCTGGCAGCAGAAGCAGCTCGTGACTGTGGGAATGGGAGCCTGCTCACATTCTTGCAAGTCAGAAACAAAGATCCTCAAAGTCCACCCCTGGCATTCTGAATAATGATAACCGAATGAGAATGAATAGCTCAGATGTACACTGGTAAGATGGTTGCCTGTGCTTAGTATGTAATTATGAGGACCCAAGTTCCAATCCCCAGCACCCACGAAAAGCCAGGCATGGTAGAGACTGTTTGCAACTCCAGTGCAGGAAGGTAGACACGGGAGGATCCTAGGAGCCCACACATCAGCCATTCTAGGCAATCAGTGAGCTCCAGCTTCAGTGAGAAACCGTACCTCAAAAGAGTAAGTTAGAGAGTAATATAGGAAGAAACCCAGCCTTGATGTGAGGCCTCCATTCACGCACATACTCAAAGTAAAAGAAAAAAACTCTAGTTTATATTAAACTTAATTATAATAAATTTACATTAGGGCAGGTATCATTTTAAAATTCATACTGTCATCACTAAAAGTGGTGGGTGGAAAGAATGAAGAAATATTTGTAACAAGCAAAAGACACTTTAAAAAGTTAAATGGTACAAGTACTCAGAATTGGTTGGGACAGAATGAAATACCGTTACTGTGCATTAGAAGAAGGTGGGCTACATAAGGAAGGCTGGATGAACGTCCCTTACAGCCTGGGAATTTGGTGACCAGCCTGCCAAAGAACAGGAAAGCAGAAACCTTCTGGAGCCAGTTGAAATAGGGCTGGTGAAACAGCGCCCCCTACTGACTACTGAGCTGAGGCACGCTACTAGTTTTATAATGAAATCTCACAGGATCTTCGGTGAAATCTACATCTCCTCATTTTTCTTAATCCAGTGGGGAAGGGAATGAAGCACCGTATCCCCATTTAAGGCTGGTCTAACACGTTTACACGGGAGACCGGGGACCAAAATCCACTCCACACAGAAGGGCCTGTATTCCTCTCTGTGTGAACGTTTGGACCTCAGCAAACCTCAGAGAAGACAACCCTCGCTCAGGCTCTGAAAGCACGGAGATCTTCCGTAAGACAGCATTGAAGTGTTTCAGGATACAAATCACGGACTTCATCTGAGCCTGCTGTTCCAAATGATCTTTGGGAAGTAAATGATGACTTCCTGAAGATCTGTAGTGAGGATTTCAATAAACTTCAGCACATAACGGTTCTTTCAGGATATAGGCAGGTCCAACACAGGCTTTTTCCAGAACTGACGTGACACAAGTTACTTTGGCTGAAGAACCTGAAATGTTTATAAATATCGATCTTCTTGCTTTCATGCTACTTTAAAAGCATATAAACCGGGTTGTCTTCAAGTTCAGTTCTCTGTCCCAGAGTCTCACTGGAAACAGTGCATTTGAGTCAAACAGTCCAGGCTCCTGTGAAATGCATGCCCCTTCCAGAAGGTGGGAGGTGGCCTATCTGGTTAAGATGTTCCTTCCTGGTGTGCACTTTCCTCCTGGGAACCAACTGGAGTTGGTCCCATCACATACCCCGGACAGCATTCACGTGAGCACAGAGCTATCCGTGTGTGCACCTCTGCTCCCTCTCCACGCATGCTTTCTTTACAGAAGACTCGAGCATCACAGACCACCTACACTTTGCCTTCCTATAGTGAAGCTTCCAGAGCCGGGCCGCTACCCATGATTATAGGCAGCTATCATGATAACCCTGCCATGGACGGGAGTGGCCGTGTGACCCTCCCTAAAGAAACTGCTTTCCTTATGTTCATAAAATAAAATTAAACTGAAATTTTCAGTCAACATTTCAAGACCTCATTATGATCATGGGTAAAGCATACAAGTATAGAAAGGAAAATTCTCTACGAATTTTCCACTAAACCACTACAATAAAACAACAAAACAAAGAAGAAAAAAAAAAACACAGTGTTTTAGAACAACTAACCTGAAATATTTCTTGTAGAAAATGATGTTAAGAAATAAAAAATAAAGATACTGAATGACATCAACGGTACTCACCAATCACAATCGAAGCCTCACAGTGGTAATAACCATTGCTTTGTTTTTTCTTCAGCATGGAGCAGAGATCTATCTGGTACAGTATTTCTTCCCCAAATCTGTGGTTGATAAATTGTTCATACAACTCGGGTGCTATTTTCTTCACTCCCTTGAAATGACAAAACAAAATCGTGTCAATCCATCATTTCACTGGGGCAGCAGAAGTTCATATTTCTATCGGTCTCTCAGAACCTGAGATTACATTTTGGAGTCAGATTGCCTCCTGGCACCTGGGAAGAGATGCCACGACATTGCTGTGGAGTTGCTTTTAAATGCTCCGCACCTGGGATGGGCTGTGTTTAAAGGCGTCAATTAAGAGTGCTAAATTGGGCCCGGGCGGTGGTGGCACACGCCTTTAATCCCAGCACTCGGGAGGCAGAGGCAGGCGGATCTCTGTGAGTTCGAGGCCGGGCTGGACCGATAGCTTCCAAAACTAAATTGATGTGGCAGCACTTGGACCCTCACGCACCTTTATGCTTCAGAGCTACAAAAGCATGTGAAACTACCAAGGCATGGAGGACAGAGGGATCGTTTGCAGCTGGACAGAAGCGTGGGCCAATGACTTCAAAATGATGCGCATCTGAGAAGGCTACAGGGAGGATGGACAAAGGTCTAGTAACTCCTATTATTTAAACCCTTACATAAAAATCACTGGACGGCACAGCTCATTTGCGCTGGGACAGTGGGACCAGTGTCTCTTCTGTATCTCCATTTGGTCTCCTTACTGTCAACACGGCAGAGGCAGCCGGATGCTGAAAACTGTCGTTTCCCAGCAGGAAATGACACCCCCACACACAACACCATGAATGAAGTGTTCTGACACCTCAGGCCAAGTCCCACCCAGACATGGTCTATGAGTTTCACTTTTTTTTTTTTTACCAATTTTTACTTTTTAACTAATAAAAATTTCCCTGTTTGCTAATAAAAATTTACAGAAATTCTAAATAAGGACAGGAAACCATGTGATTTTGCTCTGTTTCATTTTTCTTATGCAAATGAAAATGACTTTTTACTTTTCTCCTGGATGTGATTTTAACCTCAGTACTTCTTGAAAACTGGTTCCATTATTTCTGCAAGTACGCCAAAGAGACAACTTTCTGAACAGGACACCTGTAGTACCAGCACTAAAAACAACGATTAATACATGCAACCACATGAAACTGAAGAACTTCTGTATGACAACATTTGGACAAAGCAGCAGGCTATAGAATGGGAAAAGATTGTTACCAACTCCACATATGGTAGAGGACTGTGTGTGTGTGTGTGTGTGTGTGTGTGTGTGTGTGTGTGTGTGCGTGCGCGTACATATATATTATATAATTCAATACTATATATATAACTCAAAAAACTAGATGTAAGAAAACACATAACCCAATAAAACCTGGGAAACAGCTCTAAACAGAGAATTTTGGGTTTTTTAATTTTTTGTTTTTTCTGAGACAGGGTTTCTCCGTGGAGCCCCAGCTGTCCTGGAACTCACTTTGTAGACCAGGATGGCCTCAAACTCACAGAGATCCACCTGCCTCTGCCTTCCACCACTGCCAGACTAAACAGAGAATTCTCAACAGAGGAATCTCAAATGGCTGAGAAACACTTAAAGAAATGTTCAGCATTAGTAGGCATCGGGGAATAAAATCAAAACTACTTTGAGATTTTATCTTACACCAGTCAGCCCATAAAGCAAATGACAGCTCATGCTGGTGAGTGTGCAGTAAGGGGAACACTCATCCATTGCTGGTGGGAGTGCAAACCTATACACACTATGGAAATCAGTGTGGTGGTTCCTCAGGAAGCTGGATATAGATCTGTCTCAAGATCCAGTAATACCACTCTTGGACATATATCTAAAGGCCATTTCACCTACTACAAAGACACTTAATCAAGCACATTTATTGTTGCTCTATTCATAATAGTCAGAATTGGAAACAGTCTAGATGTCCATCAATAGATAAAAAAATGTGGTTCATTTATACAATGGAGTATTACTTAGATGTTTAAAAAATAAAGTCATGAAATTCATAGGTAAATGGATGAAACTAGGAAAACCATCATGAGAGAAGTAACCCAGATCAGAGGTCCATGTCTGTGTTATGTATTTGCTTATATGTGGATTTTAGCTGGTAAGTCTTCAATATGCAAGTTACAATCCATGTAACCACAGAGGTTGGGTTTAGAGTAAGGGACTGGGGTCAGGAAGAGAACCTCCCTAAGAAGGAGAAATAGACTACACAGTTACAGATGGATGAGGGTGGGGGCAACTGGAATGGAAGGATCAAATGGGGTGAGAGGAGAGAACTTGAGGGAGGCAATGGACAGATAAAACTAAAAGCCATTTGGGGGGAGTCATATGGAAACCTAATGCAGTAGAAGCTCTTTAAAATATATACATGCATGGAGGCTATCAAAATGAAATTGCCTAATAATAGAGGAGATAGCACCCCAACTGGACATCTCTCATCACCAAATAGTTTCCAGTACCAGAAACTGGCTACATCTAATTGACTTGGTGGTCAAAGGAGCTCCATTGGGAGCCCCCAAACAACCCAGGGTACTTCCAGAGGTATTGACTGCTCTCCAAAAACTGACAGTGAGGCACTACTGCTGAAGATAACACCTATGGGACTCACAGAACACGGAGAAGTCAAGCTGGTGCTTACCTAGAGCCTTCAACCCTACTCGCTAGTATTCATGGTCCTGGAAGGTATTCTGGGGGCTGCCAGAGGAGAAAGGTAAAGACCAAGCCAGCTACAAACCCTTCAGTCTACTGGGATGACTGCCTGCACGGTGTGCTAGTGTAAGAGTGATGCACAGCTTGTGGGAGTAGCCAACCAATGTGTGATCACATTTAAGGCCCACCCCATGAAGCAGACCCTATCCCCAACACTGCCTGGAGAGCCAAGGACATGAGACCAGACAGGCCAAGGACCTAGGGGGGAAACCAAATACTACATTTCTGCTAAGGGAATGCAGCCATAAAGTAAATCCTAACAACATTCTGCTAAACTTATAGATCAGTGCCTTCCTCATCATCAGTGAAACTTCCTCCTGCAGTAGATGGGAACACATGTAGAGACCCACAGCCAGATAATATGCAAAGCGGAACAGATCTTGGGACACTCAGTCCTAACTGGGAGGCCGCCAACAACTTCCCTTCCCTCAGGGCTCAAGGAAGCCTGCAGAACAGGGAGTGGAAAGATGGTAAGAGCCAGTGGGGATATCGAACACCAAGAAAACAAGGCCTTCTAAACACAACGGGACCAAAGCGCTTATGAATTCACAGAGACTGTGGCAGCAGGAGTCTGCACCAAATGAGACCCCAACCCTGGAAGAAGTGGACACAAGTCCCCAGAAGCTATAGACAATTGATAACCGCTCATAAATGAAAAGCTAGTTTTCCACAGCAGAGTCTCACTGGATATATAAATCACTCTTAGGGGTAGGCCCCATGCCCAGCAGTAGATGACCAACACGAGAGGAACTCAGTGACATCTTTGGAGGTTCTTTGTTTCAAAATGTTTTGTCAGGGAATTTTTTTAACCTTATAGGTCCTTTGCATATGCATTATGGCTTCTGGTTTTGTTTTTATGGATTCCTGTGTGTATGAACAAGTGAGTTGCTGCACCATGTGTGTTTCTTGTGCTTTACCTTTAGCTCTTTCTCTTGTTTGGTTGGTTCTATTCTGGTTTGCTTTATCTTTTTATTATTATTATTATTATTTAGATACCTATTTGTTTTCTAAAACGATACAAAAAGGGTATGGTTTCAGATGGAAGAGGTTATGGGGAGGATCTCTGATGGGAGAGGTCATTCTGTGTATATGTTGTCTTATTGGTTGAAAAATAAAACACTGTTGGCCAATAGGGAAGCAAGATAGGTGGGACTAGGAGTCGAGGAGGATTCTAGGAAATGTAGTCAAGGGTGCAGAGTCACTAAGTGATCCCGGGAGGAGAGGGCACAAGTCTGGCATTCTCAGTAAGAAAAGACCTTATAAAATATGCATTTATATATATATACATATATATATTAGTAATTATGGGTTAATAATTAAGTCAGAGCTAGCCATTAAGAAACCATAGAAAACGGCCAACAGCTTCATAATTAATATAGTGCCTTGTGTGTTATTTGGGGGCAGAGACAGCGGCGGGCCCAGGCAGCTGGTGGGAAAGAATACAGGTTACAGATTTCAAAGGAGCTAAGGGAGGTGAAACCATAATCAGAATATATTATATGCAAAAAAAATCTAGTTTTCATTAAAAGAAAAATAGATGGAAAAAAACACAGGAATATAAAAGATCCCAGAATACTGCATCTGATTTTCATTTCAAAGAGACAACTGGGAGTAGAAATTGTATGAGTTTCACAATGTAGTAGGCCTATGGTTCAGATTTAGACAGTATTCCTTAGTTTGGGGTAGAATGCTCTTTTATAGGTATTAGGTCCATTTGGTTTATGATGTGATTTAGTTCCAGACTTTACCTGTTTAGATTTTTTTCCAGTTGACCTATGTAGAGGTTAGAGTGGGGTAGTAAAGTTACTATCACTTTGCTGAGGTTATGTGTGGTTTTAGAGCTAACAGTGGTTTTGCTTGTTTGTTTTCAAATGAAATTAGGTGTCCCTATTTTTTAAAAAGTTCTGAGTAAATGAAAATTATTTTATTTATCTTCTAAATGTTTTTCTTTCCGTGTGTATGCATTCGTGTGTGTGTGTGTGTGTGTGCGTGCGTGTGTGTGCGCGTGCGTGCGTGTGTGCGTGCGTGTGTGTGTGTGTGTGTGTGTGTGTGTGTGTGTGTGTGTGTGTGTTTACGAAGATGGAAGGGGAGGGGCAATGGTTCCTATGGACGACAGCTAACCATGACAGCTTAGCATAGGGTCTTCAATCCCAGGATCACACTGGCAGCACCAAACATAAAATATCATTTTATTATTTTGCTTACATTTATTTATTTATTTGGAGGGGGCGTGCCACAATGTACATCTGGAGGTCAGAAGACAACTCTGAGGGAGTTGGTCTCCCTCCCCCATGTGGAGACTAGGAAATGAACTCAGGTTTTTTGTTTTGTTTTGTTTTGTTTTTACGAGACAGGGTTTCTCTGTATTGTTTTGGAGGCTG